TCGAACGGGTCCCCGGGGCATGGGCGATGATCTGTAACACGTGTACGTGCCACCGGGAACATAATAGGGGAGCAACTGAATTGGTTCCATTTGGCCGAATAGGTTCCCGTTTAAAATAAGTATTTTATCAGGTTGAGCCGAATCAGTTACCGTTAGTTTTCAGGTTAAATAGTTACGACTTTAATTTTTAATTTTTAATAATTCGTAAGTTGTACAAACACATTTGGTACAAAATATAAATGTACCAACACTCTATAATATACACGCAATAAAATTGTTGTATTGGAGGTTCGGCAAAGCATCGCTGATATTTTCAAAGATATATAATAATATACAATAATATCGAGATATTGGCCCCTTACATCGTTATATAGTGTAATAAAATTAATCTATCTTAGACGAACAAGGGGCTACATAAATATTCAAAGCAAGCTAAACACTTTTATTACCTTTTCCTATGATAGAAAGAAATATAATTTTGTATTTCTGTTTAAAATTTTTTCTTACCTCGTTTTGACGTGGTTGATTGGTACAAAAAAAAAAAAAAGGGTAAAATTTAATGAAATAAATATTATATTGATAAATACTTGATGGAGACGCACGACACAACACTGTTTATGGAGACTGCCGAGAAGTGTTTTGTAGAGTGTTTCTTTCGCCTTTCTATGTTTCCAATCTTTGTTGTTATTACGCGTATCTATTTTTTTTATTAATTAAATATAATACAATGATATTTATTGTTATATTTTTATATACATGTTATCCTTAAAATGATATGATATTTTAACGTATATAGTAATTAATATGTATTCGTAACTACATTTATTATTGATTAGTCTTTTTAATTTGTTTTTCATTATTTTTTTGGTGACTAACATACGCCATGTGTGTACAAACATATATTATTATAAGGGATATAAAAATAATGTTAGTGAGCACTGTATAGTCTCGAATACATCGTAATTTACATAAATTTATTTTTACATAAATCACGATCATATTTTAATTAATATTTTTTTTTATAATTGTTCGTTATTATGGAGTTTAGTTGAATGAGAACTAAGTTGTTGATTATTGACGATTATAAGATCGGATTCCAAAAGAACTTTGCTGAGGATAACATACACAGGTAAACGCCAACATAGCAAAAGTGTAAAGCTTACGTAAAATTGAATGGAGAATGTTTATGTGAAGAAGTCTTAAGCATATAAAATTGCGAAGGAAAATGTGCATAATTAAACAGGCACCGTTCGTCACGCAGTAAGTAAGCAAACTAGTGGTCTTATTATTTATTACTTACTTCCCACACATAAATGTATATAGTATAAATGTTTTTTGTTAATTATTTATATTGGAGGTACATATTAGATCAAAGTTAAGTTTATTTTAATTTATTTTTATTTTTTAAGTATAAATTTATAAAAAAAAAGGTGCAGATTACTTAATAAAATAAAATAATGTTATCTTCTTTATCCAGATTAATAGTGTTTTATCTTTTATCTAGATAGTTTAGATTTTAACTATCTTTTATATTTATCAAGATAAATTGTATCCAATTATCTTTTATCTTTATCTGGATAAATTTTTGGTCATCTTTGCGAAAAACTGTGTGCATGGTGTGACTGCATGGCATACAATTATGCTTTGATGCATTAAAGCTCAGAATTTTTTCTGAATATTTTATAATTATTAATCACAGTCCAGACATATTGTACTAAAATAATATTTGTAGTAAAAAATTAATGATTCATAACATTTAAATAAGTAATTTATTTTAAGTTATAAACAAATAGGCTAATCGTAGTATTTTTTTTCATTATCAGTGGAACAATATTTAAAAAATAATAATTATAATCCTAAAGGTTAACTTTTCTGGTTTTTAGTAGGTGCTAAAAATATTGGTATATTTTACAATAACTGGGAAGTCAATACAATTACTGATCAAGTAGTCTATTTTCAAATATCTATTTTTTTAAATCTAAATATATGTATATATATCGATAGGAATAAAAATATTTCTATAAATAGGTTTATAAGGTTTTATAATATGATTACTGAAATGTAGCTTTCCGTTTAAGTCTCAAATTATAGTTTGACACAATACTATACTTATGTTTATAACTTTGTTTTTATTATATAAACAATTTTAAAATTAATGTAACCATGTACTAATAAAATAACGTATTAGTATTACGTTATTAGCAGGGCTCGGAACTTATAGCACTTTAAATCATTAAAATAAGCGCTTAAAAACATCATTATAAGCGCTAAAATAAGCATTTAAAAAATTTTAAATTATGCAAAAATATTTAGTAAAAAAAAAAAAAACTATAAAATTCTAACTAAAATATCAAAAAAAATAAAAATAAATCTTCACTTTCAAGACTTTTAATGGATTTTCTAAGAGATTTTTTTGAAAAATAAAATATAAACTGTTCTCTTCCTTCTTGATCAATCTGACGTTTGACACTCAGTTTTATTTTCAGCGTTGGAATATCTTTGTTAACCCTACAACGATACTTTGGACGACGACGAACTACTTGACAACGTAGATAAAATGAGAATTATTTTTAATTTTAATTCTATTAAAAACGACTTTTCAGGATAAAACTATAAAAACGTAAAAAAAAAAAAAATGGTAAAATAAGCAAAAATAATCAGAAAAACTGGAAATAAGCATTTTTTTAAAAAATTGCTGAAGAAAGCAAAAAAAGGCACTTTCAAATTTCATAATTGTACGTGTTATAACTTGACATACGCTTCTATAGCACTCTGCTACATTTTAAGTCAATCCATAAAAATATGCAAATGCTTTAACTCCCGAGCCCTGGTTATTAGTCATACAATTCGCAACTTTTGTCCATTTTTATATCGTATCATACGTTGTGATTCTGTACACCAATTACACATATTCTTTACTAGCAGTGTGTTGCTGTCAGTTCCGGATTACTCATTAGACGGAGTAGGCGCCCGACTTAGGGCTTCACTCATTTAAGGGGCCCTGTGAAAACGGACAACTATATTTATTTTATTTAATAATACCTGTATTTTATTTACAAATTTACAGGACAAGTCATTATGAAATATAATATATATTAAGTTGTAGGTGTTATATGCAGTAATAATAATACAATTATTTTGAAAAAAAAATAGAAATAATATTATAATTAATTAATGTTTCTTACAAATAAAAAAATTTAATAAACATGATTTTTTTTTTATTAATAATAGTTGGTTATTATTAAAGCTGTTTGTTTTAATTATTGGCTAGTAATCTTAAAGATGTATGTAAACAATAATTTTGTAAGGCCAAACATATTCATTTCATAGAGGCCCACATATTTTTTATCCGGAACTGCGTCGTTTTTTAGTCTTTTTAATAGTCAGATCTTTAAATCTTTCATTATAACAATCATATTTGCATGAAAATATTTAAGTATCAAGTATGATAAGTTATACGTATATAATTACTGTAAAATGGTCTTAGAACAATATTTGTTAATAAATTCAATGCACGACATGTACTAACCACCGTAAGGTTAATTGTAAGTACTTAACTGCTGGTTATTATAATTTGTAACACGGCAATTGCAGTTAAAAAATGCATTAATTTATTAAATAATCTCAAAAGTTTTAGTACAGAAGTCTGATATGATCTAACTTGATACAAAAATTAAAAAAAAAAAAATACAAATTACAATTAATATTGGGAAATATTATATAAACATTTTTATGAAAAAAAATATATAATTTTACAAAACAAATAATTGTATATTCCTACAGATAACAATAATTTTTGAATAGTAAAATTTTCTACATAATAAATTAATTATGATAAATTAAACTATAAAAAAACAAATTTACTTGTCAGTACATATTACCACAATTCATATGACATACATGGTTATATATATATATATATATATATATATACTAAAAATTGGACATTTTTAAAAAATAAAAAGTATTGAAGTTAATGAACCATTTTTATCAACGGCAGTCTGTACACTCTATATATTAAAATAAAATATGATAATAAGAACAAATTATTTTTATAATATATTAATTAAATCCGGTAAACAGTTTATTTTTCTTACATATTGATTATTATTTACTTTTAATTTTAATAGAGAATTGTTCGGTAATAATAATATTAAAATAACTAACTTATTTTCTTAAATGTAATAATTCAGGTTTTTTTATTAGTAAATGAGTAATGAATGTGTAAGGCCTTTATTAAGATGTAACGATGTGCGAAATTCAGTTTTTTGATTTTATAACATCAAATTGTAGGTTGAAGGTAATTTTGAAGGACACCAAATATAGTAACTGTATATTCAAATAACTGTAAACTCGATTTCTGTGTTAATATGTTTTAAGAAATGAATACAAATATTCTCGAATGTATCAAATTAAATTTAACGTACGTCTCTTTGTTTGAATTTCGAGAAGTGTATTTTTTTAAATGAAAATAGGTCATGTGTACGTTTTTAAAATCAAATGATAGTATTCCTCATTTCAAATATTTCACATTTACACATGCACATTTATTTTCTATGTATTTTATTCAACGTCTTTCACTAATAATATTAATTACACAACTTAAAACTATCATACACTTCGTGTATAAGTTTAATAAACGTTAAAAATATTTCCTCTTATATATGTTTATGGATCAAAAATTATTTTGGTGAACAAAAGTACTTGGTAGTTCGAATACGATATCAACAACTGTTGAAAATAAATTCATTGAAATATTTAAAATCACCATACTATATACTTAATGTTATAGTCTATGTATACATTTTAGATATTGAAATGTTATGTTTTAAAGATAAAATAACTCGTAAGAATTAATCAGGATCGGTAGCCTCGACAAATGTGAGGATGTATGGACGCAAAATTCGTGGATATTATATTATAAATAAAAAAAATTAATGAATAATGAAATTGCTGGACGACAAAATGTCAAAAATCGTATATTTTCATGATATAACATAGCATAATAATAATATGCACTAGTAAAAATATTTTTAAAGAAACATCAATTAAAAAAATAGGTACAAATCTAAATGTAATCGTACCCAATAAATAAATGTAGATATACTGTACATATGCACGTATATCATTAATTGTAGTACGTAATGTAATTATTAATAAATAACGTTAAAAATTAATTAAATGTATGACTACAAGTCTCGTTTATATTGTGAATAACATACCTGGGTCATGTGAATTGATAAAAATCACCCGCGGTCTTTGAATCAATAGAAAGAAAGAGAAATATGTATAAATATATTATATTACAATAATTATATATATTTAATAAATATCACAGAGTCATATTGACCCAAAAATAGGCCTACCCTAATATGTATTGCCTCTCCATTGATCCCAAAATCATGAAATATATCGAAAATGTCGTTTTTGGTTTAGAAGAAAGTAGGTTTGGTAAATAATGAATCTATACCCTACGGTATATTTTATGTACAAGGTGTAGTACTCACATTGAAAATTGTGTTGGCTGTTTTATGATCGAATAAAAAAAAGAGAGAATTTTTCTTTCTGAGGAACTAGACCTTATACGTTGCACTAAAAATTTTACATATTTATATTATTGTATTCTCTTTCGTATTGTTATAATACAAGAATAAAATATCATTTACTAAACATACGCCGAATTCGCACTATTGAATAACGATATGACTCATACACGTATGTATTGATGGATAACGTTCAAAGGGTTATCGGATGATGATTTTAGATGTTTATGGAATATAATTTTTCGTTGCACTAACATGAGGCAGTAAAATAACCGTAGAAAGTTGTAAACAATAATTTCATTGATTTTCGTGAAATCTGATTGTATTTTTCGATAAAAGTGAACGGAAACGTGAAGATTCAGTTAGCATTTTGTGTGGACCAAGCCACCGACGATAGGTTAACTATTTTTCTTTTTGTCTTTTCCATTTCACTATTTATTCATTTAGGTCATTGCGGTAGTTCGGGGAAACAATTTTTTACTCGTTCGAATGCTCGTGTCTACCAGTAAGTGCTTGTGAATAAAATATAATACACCCATCGTCACGGTTCGATTGTCCGTGGATCGGCTTTATTAAAAACGTATAACATCATTTACATCCCGAGAGTAGGATGTATAGCTATTTTAAACATACCTGTAATAACTTTACTTTTTACCAGTTCTACATATTTTAATCTTAGGGCGTATAAACAATAATAAATATTTTAATTTAGCACCTGGTCAGGGAACGGTAACCCTGGTTGTTTTACATAGGTAGTAGATGAGTATGTACACACTGAACCTATGCAACCTTAATTTACACTGTAAATCGATCGATAAAAATAAAGAAAAATTAAATCACACTAATACGAAGATTGAAACATGTTGTGCGGTGTTCGAAAAATGAAACGGCACGATTAAGCGGCTTGTTGCCCGAACGGCCAATGCCACATGGTCATTGTCCATCAGCTGCGTCTTCCAGTGAGGTCTACCAGAAGGTACGTGAACAACGGAAGCTGCTTCAGCGATTTCACTCGATACTCAAGGTTGTTGAGTCCGTCGGTCTTGAAACGTTTCCGGCCGCTGTATAACTTTTCATACCTGTGTCACACACAAGGAGGAAAAAAATTACGACTGGTGATTGTATTATATATTACATCAATTATAACTTATAATTTACAAGTTACGATTAATATGATATTTTGTTACTGTGCAAAACACACAGTAGCGCGTTCCCCGGAGATGTGGAATAAAAATGTTATTAGGTTTCCAACTTAGAAATTTTGCGATTTCAGTTTCAGAGCTTAAACAGCTTTTAACAAAGACCCGTATAGAGAGTACGAGGATGTATCGAGTTTTATAACTTTCAATTATGTCGGTAGGCATTGCTATTCATTCATTATCAAATTATCTAATTATGTACGTGTTTTCGTATTGGTATATTTAATCTTAGTATAGTGGTCATTAGTTGTTTTCGAAAGCATTTCCTCTGAACGGTTGACTTTTATTATGATTACTTTTGAATTCGGTGGCGTATCCAGGAATTTTTTTTTTTTTTTAAGAAGGGCTGATCCGTTTACATATCATGTAATGAAAAAACTGTAACAAAGACAAAATAATTTTCTATTGGAAAAAATGAATTAAATTTAAATCAATAAATTACATTTTTTTTTGTATATAATGTTTGGATACAAAAGTAGTTTACGATCCCTATGTATTTCACACTATTTGTGATTAAGTTACCTGTATAATTTTATATTTCCTGAAATTTCGATGAGGTTGAAATGCAGCTTTTTTAGACTTTCTCCACTACATATACCACCGGTTTTGATTATATTTTGTTTTTGGGCAATCAAGGTATTATTATATATATCAAGATATTATCAAGATATGTTGGATTCGATATGATTTCAAATATTTAGTTGAATATACGTCCTATAGCTTTCGATTGTGATAATAATGTAGTGTCCTCATCGAAAACTGAAGTCAAAATATATGCTTCAATTTTCGAAGATTACGTCTCCACAAATGTGCTACTATTGTTGTATACGTTATTCGATTAACTTAGAATTAAGAAACTATTATTTAGTTTATAATATTGGTAATATACCAGTATATGATATTTATATAAATATAATATACATCATAATACCTATGGTTTACTAAAGTGCATATTTAAAAAAAAACTAAATGTCTGATTTATTTAATTACATAATTTTATTATTATTCAGTAGTAATAAAATTATTGAACGGGGTATACTATATAAACTTTTAATCCTAGATTGTAGCCCTTGTTTTGTCTACTATATACTATAGTTATTTGTACATCATATATTATTCATCCTCTGAACATTAAATGATTTTATTCAGTTGAATATAAAAAAAAAAAAAAAAAAAAAACACTGAGCATTTGTGTTGCGACAAAGGGAAAGAAAACTTGTCCAACAAAAAATATCGATTTTTGTCATAACTTATAACTCATAAGGTTCAGAACTCTTTTATAAAATGTATTTTTTGCAACAATGCATCAGTTGAAATCATTCACTCATAAGCTCATTACTGACATAAACGTATTGAATGTAGGTAGTGTTATATTTTCTACAAATGTCAGCTAATGGTGTGAATCCTGTAATTGACACTGAAGCGAAAATATCAACAGTATTTCATTTTTTCATTATATTTTTAAAATGTGCCTTATATATTATTAAAATAATATTTTATTTTATATTTTTATATTTAATATTCATTATTTTTTTTCATCATATTGTTAATATGTAAGGTTTTTGTTCATTCTACAAAATTAATACTCATTTTACACGCGTAACCTAATAATGAAAATGTATATACAATTTGGGATTTTTGTATGGAGAGAATACACAGTTATTTTACATTCGTTTCGTTGTTATCAATATATATATCACAATATTCATTTTACCTATATATTTATATTATTGTAAATATAAATCAAGTTCTATGAGGATTTTCTAATTACGATAAATGAAATGGTAATAAGGATTTTCAGTAATTTTTTGTTTTTTCTTTTACAAAACTCATATGACTTAAAACCAAAAAAATATATTGTTATCTTTTTAAAATTTGGTATAAATCAAAGTATTAGTTTTAATCAATGACTCATTATGCAGTGGTTATCGTTTTGAGTATAAATCTCTTTGCTATATCAAACATAGACCAAAGATGTATTTACAGTTCAAAGTTGGTACGCGTATACGACTTCCATAGTGAAGTAAGCTAAGAAAAAAAAAGCTATGAAATTTTTTATGATATTCGATAACTATTAGATGCAGTAAAGGTAGTTTTAATGATAAACAATTGTAAATTGTATAATTTTTAATTAATAATAATCGATATAACGAACATGAATATTCTAAACATATCTTATACATATTTTTTAATACTATACCCTTAAAAGTAACTGATTAAGTTAACATATATTTTAAATGCTTAGTACAAACAAACAATTTTTTTTCTCTTTTCTATTGTCACTTTTATTTCATGCCAAAATTCTAGGGCCGTATTATATAAAATCATCGAGTATGTATACAAATTGTATTATAAAAAAGATTTTTTTTTTCGATCTTCACAATAGTTTACTTAACCTCAAAGAAACAAACTTGGATACAATGTTAGATTTTGTACCTGCACCATTATTCTTTTGATAAAATGACAACATTTGTGTTCCACGACTTGACACATTTACAAGAGGTTAATTCTAAGCCGTTACCGTGACAGTATTGTATGTATTGTCTGCACAAAGAATTAAATAAATACATTTAGTGAGGTTAGGTTAACCGCTATACTTCTACTAAAACAGTACATAACTAAAAGATTTATGGAATTAAGAGTTGTTCTGCAAATGGATAAGCGACTGACTGAGTGCGGTCGAGGTTGGCCTACAGTAGCTCACACGGTACTAGTATCCACTCGGTAGTAGACGGTGGTATATGGTGTGACAAGGCTCATCCGGCTCGGACACAAACATTTATAATAGGAATGATTAAATAACTAAATAACACCAAACTCATAACGCCTTTTTGCCGATATAGTAATAAAAATTGCTGATAATTTATGTTGCTATGATGTTTTTCATAAATGTTTTAAAATCAGAAATACGTCATAATACCGATTATTTTTACGAATAAATATTTACGATTGCATTATAGAACCGATATTAAACCCATACCGTCCAGAAGCGATAATTTGAAATGGAACAAATACAGTAAAATATCGAGTTGCGATGAAAAGGGTTTTAAAATAATACGATTGACCCGAAATCATAAGTATAATGTTATAGTTAAAATCACTTCCACGTGGAAAAGTGATAATTTATTATTGTTTTCAAACGTACAGATTTAAACAAACAGAAACGGACTAAAAATCAGAACTATAATATAGCAGTTAACGACCTTTTTATTTTTGTTTCAGATTCTTCAGGGAGATGATTGAATTTTAAACACAATCGTCTGACCGAGTATTTATCACATAAAATATTGAATAATAATCTAAATAATTCAATGTGATAATGAATAAATATATCCAATTTAATATTTAAAAGACATCGAAATGTAATAACTTGATGTAATAGCTTATTGTTTTTTATGTTTGATATAAATACATCCAACCCTTTAAAACATAAATAAAACAAAATGTATGATTGGATTTTATGAGTGTAAATTGTATTTATCACTTGGTTTTATTTTGATTCGATCCCAGAGACGGAAAATGTTATATTATTTGTCGTTTACGATGTTACACAAATCGTTTCTCATATGAAATCTTGAAACAACAGTTATTGTATAAAATAGAAGTATGATGATTTTCCCAAATGTATATAAAAAGCAAAACAATAATATGAATTTGAATGTTAATTCTGATGGTCTATAGAATTTTAAAACAGTGTGATACAATAATTTTAGTTGCGAGAGTCAACAGAAGGAGATACTTATGTAGAATAAAAATTTTTCGGAGCGTTGTAATGTCTATTGTATGGAAATGTATTTAAACTGTGTAGAAATTTAAATTAATTTTCGTTTATGCATAAAATATATAAATGAGTATTTATTTCACGAAGTCGACGATAAAAAATGTCAATGTTGCGTATAATGAAGTCTTACTCGCACGAATCGTGATATGGATTGTAAATTTGTTTCAAAAAGTTGACATTATTTTCGCGAAAAGAATGTTGCCATTAAATATTGAAGCGCACAATAGTTTTGGTACAACAGATTATTAAAGTTAGTTTGAAAATGTAGTAAACGATTAATTCGTTAGTAGGACGTGTATTGATTGGCTGATGTACATCGGACAAATTAAAAGTCAACCCAAGAAAAACTCACATATTCATGTTTCCGATCCGTGTAAAATCCAATACAAAATGGCTATGAATAATATTAAAGAAGCGACTGTTCACACACAAAATACTCCACATGACCTAATCAGTGCTGTATAAATAGTACCTGGATTAGCTGGTGCAATTTCTTCAGTTCATCATTTGAAACACACTATACGTAGAGTTCAAACACTTAATGTGCATCGCCTATTCCGAAAACAGTTAGTAACTTTAAAATTACTGATGAGTACCTATACTAAAACGATGAAAGGAGAACAATTTTTAATATTTGACAATAGAGCATCATAGGATCGAATTTTATTATTTTCGACCGAAAATAATTTAAAATTGATGGATCGATCAACTAATTGGTTGGTAAACGGAACTTTTAAAACGGTACCTTCACTTTTTTTATTAGTTATTCACTATTCATGTACTTATTAAACAGGGTGACCAAACAGTTAGTCCTACCATTTATGCATTATTAACCGATAAATCTCAATTAACATATACACGTTTTCTTAAATATTTATTAGAAATAAAACCATCTTTAAATCCTACATCGGTGACAATGGATTTTGAACATGCCTCAATAAATGCATTCAAAATCGTTTTTCAACATGCTGAACAATAAGATTGTTTTTTTTATTTTTCTATATGTATCTGGCGACAAGTTCAAAATGTTGGTCTAGTCGAAAATTATATTAATATTTCTAACTTTGCTATTCATATTTGTATCCAAGCTGCTTTGGCCTATGTTCCTCCTGATAACGTTATTAACGCATATGAAGTAATTTTAGAAATACAATTTTATGTTAAAAATGAAGAACTGTTAATTCCATTCTTGGATTATTTCGAGGAAAACTGGGTAGGAAAATCTTTAGGAGGAAGCCATCCTACTATTTGGAAATTAATTGATGGAATAAAGAAAGTTCAAAATTTAGAAGAATTGAAACGAGAGCAATTAAATGTTGGAGAACAACCACAGAAAAGAAAAGTACAAAGACTGTATTAAAAAAATGTATTCATTAATTTAAAATTATATTCCTAATGACAATAAGAACTTTCTAAAAGGTATAGCATATAATTTGTCACTAAATGCCTAATTATTTTATTTAAAATTATTATTATAACTAAATATTATTATTATTATAAATTAAGAAGTTTGATATTTTCTATATACCATATTTTTGCTATTATATATTTTCGCTCTTTTTTAAAATTCGCTGTTTTTATTTTCGCTATAATTAATTCGCGATTTTTACATTTGTCGTTATTGTTTCGCTATTTTGGCCTAGACCCGATGTATACTCGTATAACTATAATTTATTCTTGTACGATCAGTAATTATTGTTATTTTTAACTGTCACATTCCGTGATATCCCAATGCGAAATTAGGGTTTTTAAGTAATCCAAACACCATACAGTATAATTTACCGTTGTAAAAAAACCCACGTTTGATGGACGTATCATTTTCTGTTTAATAATACTATAATGTGATCGTCTAATAGCCGAAAGACTGTTTCCGCTTACATCATATTGGAGTGTTTTGCGACAGACGAGTCGATACGAAAAAATCGGGAACTTTCTTAACAGCAAATACTCTGACTTAACAGCTATAATTGTAATGTGCGAACAAAGGCAAATTAAAAAAAAAAAAAAATAAATAAATATAAAGATTTTAAATAATCGGGAAAAACATGTTTTATTCATGCATTATAATTGATAGAGTGTGACGCGCGGTGAACGTTACCACTATGTCCATCGATTACAGATGTCGAAGACAGTAAAAAAAATATAAAAATATACGAGATAATTAATATTGTTCAAACTGTAATTACAAACTATTAAACGATACCTTATAATATACTCAAACACGTTTGTTTAAAGGACCATTGATGCGTACTGAATTTTTGACAGTTCCAGCACATAATTATTTTGAACGCTTGGAGAAATAAAAACACAATGTATATCAGACTCACTTTTATTCGTTTATTTATTTTTTTTTTTTATTATTATTTTTTTTTTTGTGACTTATTACAGTTAATTAATTAACGTTGTAAAACTATAATCGTATTATTATACTTGCTTTTATTGTTATAGATTATGATTTTATGAGTGAAGTAAAAAATGTTTCGGTGTTACATGGGTATAATGTATAGTTATGAAATGTTTTGATTATTTGTACCTCAAGGTCTATATTTTACTTTGAAATAGAAGAATTCGAAAAGCTCTAATAACAAATTTTATGCTATTGAATATTAAAATGAATAAAGATATATATTATTTAAGAAAAACGAGATAGAAAAAATTTCAGCTGATTTTTTTAACCATTAATGAATTAAGCAAATTAATAGGGGAAAAATGATCACTTCTTGGTACATCCGGAATGATATGGGTAATAGCTGAACGTCAATCAACAAATTTTACCAATTGCATTCTTCTAGTCAAATACGATCGAAACCAGGATAAGAAAAGTTTCCCAATGAGAGATTTATAGAAACACATAAACATTTATAAAATACCAATAAAAGTTACATGATCTTTATGGTTAAGAACTATGAATAAAATTGATACAAAAATCCAACATCCAGGTCGAATCATACACTTTAATGCAATAGTACCTTATATTCGAACAGATTTACTACTATTTCTGAAAAACCTTAAAGAATAAATTTTTTCAAATTAATCACGAAAAATCACAAATTTGTTTTCACAATTAGGTCCTTCCGTACAAACAATTATTTTGACTTTCGGGTTAGTTAACTTTCACATATCTCACACGAATAGTTATAGCTATAAAACTTTTTCCGATCATATCCTAACTTTTAAACGATGTCCATATAATCAGAAAGTAGTTAACAAGAATGTATGAGTTCAGTTTTTCAAATTGTCAATATCATCCCAAATTCCTATCTATTTCTTTGGACTTTTAGAAGTTTGTAAGTATTATAATCGTTGAATGAAAACCAAATAGCCGATAAGTTTATAAGATTTACGGGTCATAAATTCAGATATAAATTGCTGTTATAATAAAGGTAGACCCTTTTCTCAGGCATCAAAATCCCTAATATTTATACACTTGCCTTCTACTACTATAAACTATTTCACAAAAACACATTAAATACTCGTATTTCCAATAACCCAAGAAATTGTTTTTATTATTTTATTATATTTCCCTCTCGAGTCTCGTGGTCATATTAGTCACTATCGAGTTCGATTCACGAATCACGATTGACTAAAAATTAAACCTACTTAATATTTTATTTTCAATGAATATGAGTAGAAAACGTATAAAAATGCATATATTGAAATAAATGAGTTGTTTGGTTTTTTTTTTTTAATTTAGAAGGCGTTGACGATGATATTTTACGAGAAAAATCAAAGTAATTAGTAAATATTTTTAGTGAAGTAAGAAATGAGAATAAAATTATAAAATGTAAAACAATAATGAAGTATTTTTTAAAAGATGAAAAATTATCTATGCAAAATTTTCTTCAAGCATAAATGTTAAGCGATTGATTTCTTACTGTGGAAATAGCTTTAAAACTTTTCGTATTTATACCATGTTCAAATGCTAACGGAGAAAGATCCTTCTCAGTTTTAAAAATAGTCAAGAACTACCAGAGAACGCAATTATTTAATAAAAATATATCATCGTCGGCTCTAATGTCTATTGGAAATATTGTCTTAGAAAGTATAGATTGGAATGATATTATTAAAGAGTTTGCTGCACAGAAAGCTAGAAAATAGTTGTTGATTTTTTATATTTAATAAATTCGTATTCAAATATTTATTTTTAGTATCTACTAAGGCCTATACATTTAAAAACTAAAGATATTACAATATGTTTATAAATATATATATTAATTAAACAATCTTATCATGTTGTTATCTGTTGTGTATACATATATATTGGTTTGTGGAGAGGGGTTCAAGGGTGGAATTTTAAAATTTGCCCCATACAGAAAATTTGTTAGCCCGTCATTGTACACCCCTTCAATAAAGCCGTCTAGCTCTGTAATCTAATATCTTTATTACTTATTTTATAAATTAATACTGATTGTATATATTCTTGTTTTATATTTAATAAAAAAAAAAAAAGTAATGTTAGGCAAGTTTTCTATATTATCACGCATGATTAAGAAATTGGGTATGGTTATGGTGTTAGGAACACAATCTGCTTACCTCTTTGGATTGGCCTTTTGTTTAGCATGTGTTAACATATGATAACGTGCCACGTTTGGAGTATATCTGGTAATGTTCAGGTCGTGAGCTTTTACTCGAGATGCCATATCATCATCTTCACCTCCCCATCCCCAAAACATGTTACTAAATCCGTTGACCAACTGGAAATGATTGCGGCTCATGCCTATCACCCCACCGAATAAATCCACGTACGGCAGTCTAAAAAAACAGTCAAAATTAACACATTTAATTGCATATTTAATATTTGCTTTGAAAGACTAATAAAGCGAGTAACCTACAAAAAAAAAAAAAAAACTACACGTGAAACTACCAAATGATAACGAGGACCGAGTCAATAGTAATAAAAATTACTGGTCGGTAATTATAATAAAGTAATTGATAATATTTTATCGTAAAACTGTGACAACAATATTGGTCTGAAACGTCAATGATATTTCAGACATTCAGTACTAGTAAAAGGAAATATATTTACATCAATCAATGAACGACTTAACTAATGCTTATGAGAAATCTTAAGTTAATTTGTTTAAGTTGTAATCCTATAGATTTTAATAAATATATTTTATTTGAATTAATATTTTATTTTCAATCAATATCAATATTCCAGAAAGTTCATCTATTTTCTTCAAACTATTTACATATGACACTATGAAAAAATAAAATATATACAATGTTTATTTTTGTTTAATTTAGGATATTCAATAAATATAAATTTAATTATAATAACTATTACTATACGAAAATGAATAATGTTTTTTATTTGATATAGGTTGGAAAGAATATAGAATTATTAATGTATAATGGTATAGTTTGGAATCGTTATTTTTTTTGAAATATACTTAAAATTTTATATTTTTATTCATGGCATAATATAATAATGCTAATAATAATAATAATAATAATAATAATTTGTGATTGAAAAGTCGGTAAAAAAGTGTAAGCTTTTAGTAATAATAATAAATAGTACAGTGATTATGGACAGCAATATTTTTAAATCGAGTTTTAAAAATAATACAAAATTCATTGTTGTTTATGACAGTAAAAAGCATAATAAATAGTATTAAAGAATTAAAATTATTTTAACAATTCATGGTTACCATGGGAATAATTATTCAAACCACAAAGCCATTTATAGTACACAATTTGAATATGCTTAACAATACGTCAATATGCGCAAAACATCTTGAACGCTATTGTACTTCTTGTATTATGTTTCTCTACAAAACTTTTATATTACTGTTGTTATCTAAATATTTTTTAAAATATAAGTTTCTGGCTTTTTTTATATTGAATAAACAATTAGCGAAATTAAACACAACTTGACCAACGTACTTCGTCCATGTTGTAAACTTTATTGATACATAGGCAAATAAAAATAAAATATACTAAGCATTTTTTTTTTTTACATTCGTACATATGTATATATTTACATCTGTGTTATAGATTACTTATTTAAAACTATAATACTCATATATTGTCAAACAAATTAATTGACCTTTAGTTTATAAAATGGTCTATTAAAATACAGTTACTTATGTTATTCATTAATTTTTGTTAATTTTAATACAAATATTATGTACAAATTACTATTCATACATAGCTAGTACACATGTAGTTCATAATAATATAGGTTTTAAAAATCATAGAAAATCATTAAAAAATAATAAAAAAATGTTCTTGTGTATTATATAAAATAATTGTTGACATAATTATTATACTCGCTAGTTATAGCTTGCAAAAAGGGAAAGGTATATTACAGCTAATCATTGAAAATTAAGATATTTTCGTTAGGTAATCTTACATTCCATTTAAAAATAAAAAAAAATATACATATATAAAATTAAAAATATATTCCATTGAAATTGAAATATTAAACATTGTAGTAGAATCTGTTGGAATGTTTTTCCATGGTTTATGTCTATGGCTAGTGTCTTTAATTATTTTTCGCATTAAATAGCCGAGGTTAAGCTTTTTTACTAACCTAAATGGATTTAATATATATATTTTTATTTTTTTTATAGTAATTATATACCTATGTTTTGGCAAACTGTCCCTCGGCACGTGTATAATTTTATACAGAACCTTTTTCCAACCATACAATTTATTTATTATTAAAGGACCCTCCAACAAATTTGATGTGGTATACATTTTATAAATATGAAATTATTTTTGTGAGTTTGTTTCAAAAAATTTAGAATGAAAATTATTTGTTAATCTAAATATTAGATTCTAAACAATGTGGCTTATATTTTAGGTATCATAATTACCTGTAGTTAAACTTGTCGATAGCTACTGACATATGTCTCGGCTGATCGGGACAACTGTAAATGTTTCTATCGTTTTCTGGTATAAGATCTACGTCGTGGAAAAAGAAACAGTCGAAATCACGTAACTTTAACGCTTCGTTAAATCCGACGTTCATTAACATAGCTCGGTTAAATAGACCATCGTCTGTTGAATTATTAATAAATTAAATATATGTTCATGTATACAATGTATATTTAAAATATTTAACGAGCGAATTCAACGAAAAAAAAAAAACAATAATAATAATAATTATAAAATAGTTAACATTTCATCAACGTACGAGTACGATCATTGGCTTACCAAATTGTTCTACAATGAAAATACTGTAGTCCAATTGTTGTTTGGTTAAAAACGGATGCATGTTAAGAAGAAAAGTGCAGAGGTTCGACAGTCGGTCTCGATAAGGCACTATAATTGCGATTTTGTATCTGGCTCGGCAGTCTAAAGGTTCTTGATGACCGCCTTCGAGAAGTCTAAGCCAGGATAATTGTTGTGCTACTTCTTCCAGCGTTTCCTGAGCAGGTACCAGTAAGCGCATTGTTCCGTCTGTAGAAAAAGTAAACGAATCTGTATATTTAAAATAGATGTACGAGGATAATAATATATGTCGATTACATGTTTCCGATGAACATGAAATCAACGAGATATTGTATAGTGTACCCCAAAAAAAAAAAAAAAAAGGATAAAACTTAATTAATTGAGTGTAGCACAACATAAATGCTTCCAGGTAAACACCTATTCAGTGGGTAGTACAATACGAGTATATTATAAAAGATAGCAAATGCTATAGTACGCAAGTTTCCCAAGGGATAAATAATTGTACCATTGTATTTTTTTTTTTTTTTTTTTGAGAGAAAGAAAAAAAATATATCCGGTCAAAACATCTTACCATGGCGTTTCAAACAATATTATATACCTATCAAAAGGATTTTGATTGAAATGGTCTGTCAACAATTATTTTCAGAAATTGTTTTTTGGTAGCCTTTCCCATTTCCAGTACACATTTTAATTTTATTTTCACCCTTGTCAATATAAATTTCAAACGGTCGGATTTCTTTCGCATCACTGCATCACATAATTTTTGTTGGTTTCATTATAATATATTTTAGGTTAACTGTTATTTTTTTTACCTGTAATTCTGTACCTACACAGATAAAGTCACGGGTCAATACATTTGTTTTATTAAAACTGTTTCAAATACATATTAATCACATGTAATGAATTACGTTATTTTATTAATATTATTTTATTACATAAACATACTAAATAATTTATCCCAATAGGTTTTAATGATTTTAATAATATAATTTTATCATAGGTTGGAAATTTTTTAAATTAAATTACTTTTAATTAATGAAATTATAATAAGTATAATACCTAATAACCATACCTAATAGCAAATATTCAATCGAATAAATTGAAAAGTAAGTTATGGGCGAACTAAATATATATTATATTTTAATTAATTACGAAACTTTCTTCTTTTTTATGAAGTTTTAAGTCTACAAAACGTTACTAAACTACCAAAAACCATTTCATCAGTAATCTAATAATTTCAATAATATCACCATATGATTTGGGAGAATACTCGTATAATTGTGACCATTTTTATTTTAGGTATAAATTAGTCATAATCAATCAATTATATTTATAAACAAATAACGAAAACCTATTCGCTTTGTTATTTTAGTTATGTATAGTGATGGGAAAATTCTATCGAATTACTTTTTAAGGATATTCAAATTACTTAATGACTGAATTCAGCTCAAATAAAACAATTCGAAGATATTATAAATGTAAACATATGCAAAGCATAAACAAAATAAATCAAAACATTAAAGTTTTGCATTATTTAATGGATATATTTTTAACGTCAAGAGTATTAAAAAGTGTTTTAATAATCAGAAATGTAATTTTATTTTTAAATCTACATAGAAAAATTACACTATTTTATTTAAATACATGATATAAAATGTACATATATTTTGCATTTTATAACAGATTAATCGCCTATAAAAAAAAAATGAATTATAGTACTTAAAAATAATTTGAATACATTCAGAATACATAAATGTGCGTTCAATATACTACATCCAAGTATACATCATTGAAAATAAATTTAACAATTTCTTATCTACATAAATGATAAATAATTTTAATTTACTTAAAAATTAATTTAATCTAATTTCTGTATAATATTTATGTATACACTTTGTTACCATTCGAATTAGAAAATAATAATTATGAATAAATAAAATAAAACTTATAATATAAGAACAATTAAGAATTATACTGATTAAAAAATAAATATACTGGTAATATTTAACTATGTTTATTTGTTTTAAATTTAAATTCTAGATTTATAACGGACAAATTGTGATTTAAACACTTAAAATTAAGAAACTCTTTTTTTTTTTTGTACATTTAACCTAAAAATGAGTACACATTTTCGTAGTACTTATAGGCATATATTTAGATTTAGCTTAAACTACAAACAGTTCTTTCAAAGATATAAGTTGGTAAATTAAAATTTAAAAATTAAAAAGAACCAAACTGGAAAATATTTTCAGCTATTCAGTTATTTTTGTTTAACTTCAGAAATAAGCTTGAATTTTTAAGCCAAGTAAATTGTTCGTTTAATCGTTGTGTGTGTATATATATATATTTACCAAACATATTCTCAACGTCGTTCGAGGTTATAAAATCATTATTAAAAATGTATTATTTTTTTTAGCCATTTAGTTTTAGTTTCATAATGTCAAAATAAATATAGATAATATCATTAATTTGGATTTTATGCTTAAATTTAAAAAAAAATATAATTATATGTTCATTAATAATAATTATTAAACTTATTAAATATCTATTATAATTCTGAATAAATCACATAAACTATTTGATATTAAATCATTATATTATTATATTATTACATTTTAAAATCTATAAAAATAAAATCATGTTATTTATGAATCCTGAAATTTGAAAATAAAAATGTGACTAATAGTAAAATTTATTTAAAATAATATTTTTTTGTAATTGGAATACATCTTAAAAATTTTAAAAGTATCAGAATTGAAATGTAATCAGTAACCATGTAATAACCAGTGTATTTAATGGATATTTTACTGCATTTAAAACGTTTTCAAACAATTTTAAGCTGCCAGCGAAAAATAGTTAATCTCATTATACTGTTGTGATAAGTTTTATAATAACTTACAATTATAAGTCAATGAAAAATATATCAATTTGAAAATCCACGATAATCTTTCAAGTATATTTTCTTATCTTTTTTTATTTCAGTAAAAGGAGTTATTTTTAACGCTTAAGATTTTTTTTCTTACACATATTTTAATTTTTTCCTAGGTATTATTTTATTTTTATTTAAATTAAATAATTTGAAAGCGTCTTTAATTAACATTATTTAATAATAATCGAACTATGATCATAATAATTTTTTTAGTTACCAATATCATTGCTCATTGGTTTCAAAACTAAGGTTACAGTGAAACGTTCTAATGCGGGATGTGAAAACAAAATTACATTTTTGTATTTTATGCACTTTTTGGAATAATGTGTGTATACTACTACTTATTCCGAATTTCCGACCGGATAATATCGTATTTTAAATTGTTGTTCATGTGTATGTATGACTATATCAGTATATGTCGCGTAGTACGACGCACATGATAAAATATGAGTGCAAACACTACAAAGTTGATAAGTTGATAAGATAAGAACTTTTGCCCAGATACTTTGTATACAGATAACATGAAAACAACATGTAATATAACATCAGATAATTCGAGTACTTAGGGACCAACACAAAGTGAGTCGTGTAACCGAGTGAATCTTATTGGTTAAGTGGGGGGAAAAATAAAACAAACATTTGAACTAATTACTAACTTTATTAACCATTCAAGATTTCTTGTGTTGTTTTTATAATTTTTTTTCCTGTATAGTCAATAGATAAAGTTTTACTTCCTTTAAAACAACGAGCAGTTTCTTTTTTTCTTCCATTATACTGGCATAACACGTCAGCGTCATTCGTCCTGAGCAGGTTTTTGTTCCCTTTGTACTATCATTATTAAAAACGTAAATGTGATCAGGTATTGTTCTGAAGTACAGATTAGTTTCATCGGTATTGAAAATATCAGAGGATGAATATTTGGCTATGAATGAAGGCTATGTTATAGGTACATACGAGCACATAGTGTGCGGCACGATTAGAAACTAGTTATAAACAATAACTAATAAAAAAGTTAATTTTCTACGATTTTTCTTACGAAATTTGAATTTTAGTACCAAATTTTATTAATAATGTATTTGAATATTACTGTTTAAGACAGTGTTGGTCTGGCCCACTTGGGTACCCGAAAATCGTCGAGGGCCATGAGATTTATTCTTAAGATAGGGATCCAAACAAGGGTGGTTCCACAATCAGAGAACTGTGGATCAGGCAATTTCAAGAGGCCACTTGCGTATTAGAGTTGAAAGTGGTTTATACATTTATTCCTTGTAACAAAAAAACAATATGATCATATAATATTTGTTTTTTAAGTTTATTCATAATTGTCATTGTTAAATGTTTATCTTATTTTATGGAATCTTATATGTGGATAGAGATGTTTTATTTTACTATGCAATTAAAGTATAAAATATAATAAATCAAATATATAAGTGCACCTGAATATTGGATAACACCACAGCATTGAAAAATTATGATCCAGACAACAGGCGGAGATGACATATACAAACGTACTTGATTTTAAGTTACTCGCGCTAAGATGCTAATATGTTAACTGATGTTCTAGACGCGTCAAGATTGACCGTTGACTTTATGAACTGTCACTTCCTCTATCATGCAATAATGTATTCATATAACCAATTCAGCTAAAAACGGACAAGACTTGCATAAAGGAGCCGTAACAATATATAATTTTAATTGTTACGTATATAAATGTTTTTGTATATCATAATGTAATAAAAGCTTGCAATTTTAAAAGAGATTATAATAAAATGAAAATATATTCGTAAAATGAAAAATATTTTCTACTAGAATCATGATTAACAATCTCGAAATTAGAACATTAAAATATTTAACATGAATATAATGATCTGTAAATCATTCGATTACTATCATAGAGTGTTTTGGTTTTACTCAACACATATGTATTTTGTTTTTATTGTATTAATTATTGCTATAAATAGTTACGTATTTGTTCTATTCATAATAGTATAAAAATAATGCATTCCAACTGCATTGTTAAAGTAATAATAATTGAAAATTAACCACCCATGAAAGTTCTAAGTATTTAATCATTATTATAAATGAATGAGTGTAATTAACGGTAACTTTGTTTTTGGAAAATCTGTGTCTTTGATAGAACGGTTGTAGCAAATGATACATAATAAATGGTTATTAATATATACCATTTATTCGAGTCGGAAGACCTGTACACGCAAATCAATAAATCACGTTCCAGTTGTTTGGACATTTACATTTGAAAATTATGCAAAATACAGATAACACATTAGCGAAACTTCAC